AAATGATATAATGCATCCTTTTAGACTTCAAAATCGTTCACTTATATCAAGATTAACAAGTGCACAGTGACTCACTAATGTCTGGTTGTTAGGGCTTGGTGAATTGTTCCAATAACATTGTTGATCATCACCAGGATTTCAACCTATAACCTTAACTTAATAACTTAGCAGCCTAAAGCTCTAACATTATAGCACTATAATTCTAGGAACATTCCTAAATCCAAACATTAGTTTGATAGCTGTGTAGTGTACAATTTCATAGTAGTTATACATAGAGTGCATTGACAACTTTTATAATGTTTCTTCTGTTTACACAGCATCCTTCACTGTCATTTCTGCTAAAGCAGTCTCTGGCATGATCCAGCTGTCTGCTGTTGGCTTCTCGCAATGGACAAAACCAGTTTTGTATGGCATGTTAGCAGTTCTCATTTTGACAGCTCTCATCCAGATCAAGTAAGGCATTGGTTGAAAATAAGTAAAACATTTTTAGGTTAAAGTGTATGTATTTATTTTATTATTTTATTTCTACAAAGAATTTAATTTTTTTTTTCATAAAGTTTACTTGTAAATATTATTATAAAATACTCAGAAAGACACATGGATACAGGCACATTTCTTATTCGATATGCTAGGAAAAATTTGTACAAGATCTCCTCCTTCCCTAGTGCCATTAGAGCATGGAACAGGTTGCTTGGATCAGGAAAACCAATGACTTAACAGAGTTTAAGTCTCTAGATGTAATTATCTTCTCTTTTGAAGGAACATCTGAAATTTTTTAGATAACTTTTATTCATTTTCATTGCTGGTACCTTGGTTTCAGATTTGTCAATATGGCTATGAAGAATCATGATGCTACAATAGTTGTTCCAGTCAACTTTGTCATTTTTACCATATCAGCAATTTTAGCTGGTGAGTCAATAAACCCCTTTCAAGAAGGTTATAAACATTCAAATGAGAAAGTTCATATTCACGCATATATATACTAATTGTCCCATAGATTGACCCAAGAAAGGCATGCTTGAATTAACTAGTTATTTCCAAGAAAAAGTAAAATGGTAAAGTAAACGTTTCCCTTTCAGACTTGCGATCTATCGGGCAGATGATGCAAAGGTCATCTGTTTCTTTGACCCATGGTTAACAAGTGTGTCATGTGGCCAGCACAACAACCAACTGCCTTGACTTTCCCAAACTAATGTTAGATACCCATAAGGGCTGGATGGACTCAGAGGCACCTGAAAGATCCTGAAATAAAAAATCCCAGGATTTGAACCCGGGAGTCAAGCACTTAACCACTCAGCCACCAAGCCTCTAAGAAAAACTAATAGTTAATACAAAATTAAAAACAGTCATATATATCTTAGCTTTTTTTTTGTTTATATATATATTTTAAAGATGGAGCAGATTGCAAATTCAGGCAATTAAGATGGACATCATATGCCAACATGTTGGTCTATAGTAATGTTAATAAAAAAATTTCTTTGAATTAAAAAATAAAGAAATATTTCCTTGTCAAATATTGAATTTTAAAAATATATCCCTTTTGTATCTCTATTTATTAGTTGGCCTATAGAATTTTAGCTTTCATACTTTGATGTGGATGTACCAAATCTACAGTTTAATTTAAAATCATTAAATTAATTAATTTTTTTTAGTAGTTAATCCAATAGAATTTAATATTATTGTGCTGTTGTTTTTCTTCTTTCAGGAATTATTTTCTACAAAGAATTTTATGGGATGAATGGCATGCAGGTCACATTGTTCTTATTTGGGCAAGTTTTCAGTTCATTATTTGCAAGTTAAGTTGATACATTTAGATTGAACACACATGTTCATTAACAATAATATATTAATGCAAATTTTAAAGTTCTAATTAATTCTTTAGAAAAATATTTCTGTAAGGGCAAACAATTCCAGATCCAGTTTGAGTTTGAGTTAGTGTTGTTATTGTTTATTCAATTTTGGTGAGACTTCATTCGAATATTATGTGGTTTTGTTTTCAGTTGTGTTCTGTCATTTATGGCTGTTTATTTTATTGCTGTTGGGAGAACAGGGGTTTCAGATGGACAGAAATCTGACATGCAGTCTCATTTAGTGGCATCTGACCTCATTCCCTGTAAGTGCTTCTGTATTATTAAAAAGTCATTTTACATTATAACAAATGTGCCACTTTTCATATAAAAATAATGTGAAATAAAGTTAGCATTCTTTTTTTAATTTTTTAAATGTAAGTCAACCCAACGTTTTTATTTATGGCCTATAGGCTATTGCCAGCTTGGAAACTGACAGTATATTATTTACTATAGAAATGTAAAAGGTTTTTTTGTTTGTTCTTTATTTAAAAAAAAAAGAGAATTTACACATTCTTAATGGTTTACTCTGTTTTAAAGACATACTCTAAAAAAGGAAATAATGGACTTGTTAGTTTAAGAAACTTCATGATTAATTGGATAATGGTAATCAAATAAAGAATTAAGTTATTATTTTATTCAAATTTTGCATTGTTTAGATATATTTTTTCTTAAATATATTTTTCTTTATCTCTTATTAACATTCTTTGCTGGTGCTACATGTTTATTGTCTTTTGATATTCAAGGATACCACTACCACTATCTTTTTGTTCTTCATCCAGTGATTGGAATTTTCCGACAATTGTCGGAATTCCGATAATTTCTTCTGATCCGATTTTCTAACAAAAAAATCCGAAATTTTCCAGACATTTTTTTTTTTCAATTTTTTTTTATGAAAAAAAAAATCTGATTTTATTATTTTACCATTTTTGGAAGAATGGGAAATAAGATTTTTTATTTGTTACTGTGTCTTTTGACACAGTTAAAGTTCTATTTAAAAAAAAAACTGTTGTGTTACCGTATTGTCTTATAAGTCTAGATCTCGGTCCAGACTAGAGTGGTTTGAATCAGTCTAGATAGATATATTCTAGATAAGATATCTAGATTCTTTAATTTGAATACTTTTGATCTAGATCTAGAGCATCTAGACTTTAATGGCTGCTTGCCAGCTTTTGAAAAGTATTAGACTTAAACTTAAGAGTATGTAGCACTAATCGCCGCTATTACTACAATTCTAGATCTATTATTTTTTCACTGTTGTTACGATGGCCCCTAGATTTTTCTAATTTGAACCCTGCCTGCCGACTTCCATGAGTTCAAATTGGATTAGATTTAGACATCTAGATCTATTATAATAATAATGAGATCTAGATCTACTCATCTAAATCTAATAGAGTGATACTGTGATAGACCTACAGTGAACCGGCCATCTGGATTTATATATAGAATATACTTTTTTTATATAGTAGTAAGTAGGCCTTCTTAAACTTCTTTACATGACTATAGTGAGTTACTGAGTATAAGCCTGATAGAATGTAGATATCTAATAATAATATTTTGGATCTAGAATCAAGTTATTAGATATAAGTAGCTCTAGATTATAGATCTATCTATAGTGAGGGATATATATATATTTTAATATAAAAGTTTAAAAATTTTCTCTAACTAATAACTTATCATTACTAATGCTATAAAGGTCCAGTGTGGTACAGATCCACTTCTTCTAAACAACTTGTATCAACATGAAAAAGAGTCACATAAGGAAGCCTCAATTTCAGTTTTATTGCTAAACTTTCTCTTCCTCTAAGCATTGCTCCTCATCTGGTTGTTCTTGCTCATCTTGCTTAACAACTCAGCTGAGATTCAGCAGCTTTTCAAAGCATTTTTGGTGGACTTCATGTGCAAAGCTTACTTAGTAAACAGTTTCTCCTGTACAAAATTTAATAATTAGTCAAACAAACAGAAGTGTAGCTCATACTTTTGAAGTATTTCCAAAACTCAAGTATGTTTTTCTAACACATTTAATCCTTATAGCTGTTTGAGAAAGAAGTTGTTACAATATCTGTAAAGCAGTTATCTATTATAGAATACTCAGACTGCAAAAAGCTTTCTCCTCCCATCAATATATATATACAAACAATAGTGCCAATAATGCATTTTGTGTGCAGTAATGCTCAATGCAGTGCATTTTGTGTGCAGTAATCCTCAATGCAATGTAAATGTTATATTTTTAAAATTAAAATTTTTGCAAAGTCAGTTCCCATCACTGTTCATCTTCAATATAAATTCTTTGGAAGTCTTTAAGTCAATTGGAACGGCTATATTCCTATCTTTTTCTCATATGTGCTTTAGCTGCCTTTTTTAAAAATTAAATTACTATACTGAATGTTTTGTAAAAGCTGATCTTAATCTGGATTAGCTACACTTAATATATCAATTGTAATCATAATGGCACTCATTAGCTTTTGGTTCATACATCATTGTTTACACATTTGTAATCTTTCTTGTGTTTTGTATACAATTTCTCTCAAATTCCCAACCAGTCTGCATTCTTGGCATGTTATTTTGCTTTCTTATTTACTTTTAGTAGTAATTTAGTACTCAGTAATTAGCTAAATGGACACCTGTAGCTTTACTTTGCCTTTTAGTGTAAAAAAAACAACAAACCCATAGAGTTCATGAGTCAGGTAAGTTTCCCATTCTTTTATCATAAATATTTAACAACATTTACTTTTCCCGAACGGATGTGAGGTAGATGTAGTAGTTTTCCCTTTTTGTCCCTAGCTGACTATCTTCACCTTCACTCATGTTTCAATTCAATAAATTCATGGTATTTTTTAATTCCAGCTTGGTTGCTAGCTAATGTTAATGTTGGTCAGGTCCAGCCCTCTGGTTTTGTGGAGCACCTGAAAAACACAGAAACTGACAAAATACCAATCCTACATGCTGAGGCTCTTGAAACCATAGAGGAGTTAACAGAAGGGTCTGACAAACTAGACGGAGATGAGGATACAATGTCAGTGACGTCGCTTGACATGCTTGTAGATAGAGAGAAAATGGGCTTAGGTGACAGTACAAGGTATGGCACAACATCAGGAAACACCAACTGATCTGAACATCTTATTTTACATTGTCTTCATTTCTTTTTACTCGTAAAGTTTTTTTTTTTTTTTTTTTTGTAATCGAGTTAAATGTAAATGTTTGTGAAATAATAAAAATCGCTATTTAAAGTTGTCTAACTATCCAAAGATTTGGGATTATGTACAAATAATTATAGTTTAAAGGTCAGAATGGCAGGTGAGAAAGTTTTCCAAGCCTATTATGTAAAAGTTGTACGTTTCTGGCGCACTCATTTAGCTCTATCCTTAGGGTACTTGATTCATCTACATTCTCAATCTTATATAAAGATTTCTCTGAAAAGATTTAAAATCTCCTTTACCCAACAGCCAAACTCTCAATAACATTGTCACTTACGATTTTTTTTTTGTTTGTTAATGTTTCACGTTATTAACATTTTAAAAAATATAAATGTCTTACTTTAAGTTTTTTTTGTCACATTAGATTATTCAAATGTATTTGCAAAAAAATATAATTTAAGTATTACTTTGTATCTTTTGGCTGACCTGATTCTAAAAATTTAAAAGTTTAATAGTAATATTTAATATACTAAGAGTGTTTGTGCAATAAAATAAAATCAAAATAAGAGAAAATACAAAAAAGAACTATGAATATAAACATTTGGTAATGTTATTTTTTTTATATGATCTCAATATACTCATATCAAACTAGTCAGCCCTGTGTTTGGTTATGTCGACCCTGGGAATATACTGGGCTTTATCCCGGAGGTGGGGTTGACTACAAAAATTTGATCTGAGAAAGGGCAAAGTAATTGTAAATATATATTTACAACAGATTTTTTATTCAATTATATAAATTTTTACTATTTGAGCTATGAATGAACCCTAGCTGTAGCTTTTTGATTTTGAGCTATAAAAGGGAAGTAACCTTTGAAAGGTTTATGGGCACAAGTTGGCCTAAATTGTGCAGATGTACCAAAAACCCAAAATATCACATATCAGCCCTAACTGAAAATAGGTCATGATTGTTACTTATTGCAATACAAGTAATTAATAGAGCCTATGTGGTAATGACCTCATTTAAACACAACTTGGTATATACTTATTCATCTCGACAGCATTTATTTAGACTTTTGATTTGTTTTTAACATTTTAAAATATATATATATATATTTTTTTTTTTTTCTATTTTCCAAAAGATTATTTGAACAAAAAATCCTAATTACCAGATCTTATATTTTACCTGTATATATATTTTATGTTTAGTAATGGCATTTTGTTTGAGAGAGATTTTTTTAAAAAAGCATTCAATCTTTTAAATGTGTTTAAAATGTACCAGCATACATGTCTTTACAATATCTACTCTCAACATTGTGATTTTTGCCCAAGGCTGTTTTTTTGTTTTTATTGTAGACATTGGTAATAAAGTATAATAAAGAATATATCTTAAAGTGGAAAGTAATAGATCAATAGTTAAATACAGAAAGTCTCACACAAATTAGATTTATAACAATACATTAAAATTCTCATCCAAAATGTTAAAACTTAGATTCCATATACAATAGGTGTCCCAAACTTAGATGTCATATAAGATATGTCTTCTAAACTTAGATGCCATATAGGATAGGTCTCCAATCTTAAAACTTACACAGATGCTATGTATATTAGTTTTCCCAATCGGCTAGTAAGCTACAAGAAGGGTTTTGACTTCTGCAAAAGTAGTGACATGTTTTGTTTTACTGTTTCATCAAATATCTGTGAATCCTCGATGAAAAAAAATATATATTAAATTTTCAAAAAATTATGCCTTATTCAATTGGATTTTACTGAAAACTAGTGAAGGATAAATCTATTTACATTTTTAAATAAATAAAGAATGAGCACTAGATTTTGAAAAAAAAAGGTATGAAGCATACTTGTGCACTTTACTTAAAAATTTTCACAGATGAGAATATTATGTATGGTAGGATGCTGAACACATTTTCAGTCAGTTAAAAAAAAACATATGTAAAACAACTGTTCAATGGTTCTGCTTAGAATAAACACATTCCTATTAACATTCATTGCATTCCATATTTAACAATATCATTAGAACAAAAATATACAGTAGATTCATTAGTGTAATATGGAAAGAATTGTTTCTTAAGTTGAAATATATTTGTGAAAAATAAAGTATATATCTATTTATATATATTAATTAAAAATGTGCAATACTCCACACATATTTTTCTAAACAAATGTTTAGTGGATTTAACATTTTTATTTATTTCAAATGTATTTATTGTAATTTGATGTCAATTTTGTTTTCTTGATTTTACTCTTTTTTTTTTTTTTTTTTTTAAACCCATAATGACATTTACACATTTAAAATCAAAATAATGAGTCTATTTATACAATCTACTTGCTATATATATACTATAATGTGATCTCTCAGTAATTCATTTGATTTTTTGTGAATTGATTTTAACTGTTTACATTATTACAGTAGAAAATAAATTTCTTTATACAATTAAGTTTTTTTTTGTTGTTTTTTTTAAATCCTTTTTTTTTAAAACTTGTGTGCTGTGCCTCTTGGCACTTTTATTAATTAATTTCAAAGTGTAGTTGAAGTTATTGATTTGAATGAGATTTTTGGTTAAACATATACATTTATGAATAAAGCATTGTTTTGTGTGTGTGTATTTATATTCTTAATTATCCCATGAAAACCTCTCTGCCTTATCTGGTCTTTTAGAATACACACAGGAAACATATATCTGCTGGCTTAGAAATAGATTTGTGTAAGCCTACTTCAAAACTAAATTTACCATTCTTATCATTTCATGTATGCTTGCAACTAAGACACAAAAGTACTAGATCTTGAAAAGTATTGTTACATGTAAATAATCTGATGCACAACTATATAATATAAAGATTAATATTATTATTAAAATTTGATTTTTTATCAAGCGCTGGGGGCAATATTCTAGCTATATATGTATATTTTTTTATGACATGAAAACGTTAGAAATATATCTAGATCAACATGACATTTTTAATATAAATTAATAATAGAAAATAGAGCGCGTTTAATATAAATTTTATATCATTTATATCGAGATCTATAAATAGGTCCATTGTTTTTCCTAGTGTAATGTAGCGCTAACTATCATAAGTCACATGACCATCGATCAACCAATCATCATAGTTTCTATTTCAACACAAACAAAATGGTGACCCAAGAAAACAAACTGCTTTTGTTGAGCTGCTTTACTCTTTTATTTTCACTAACTACGTCCTCTTCTGTTTTAAATCTCATAAGTGATATAGATCCCTGTGAAGACGTTTGTCTGAAAACGTACCCACTTTACATAGTTGATTCATTTGACAAGGTAGGTCTAGCTAGATCAGGAAAACCATTGACTCGTCTTGGCAGAATTTATTTAGGTCATTGGGTAATCCTGTATATCAGCGCCCCGCGTTCATAAAATGCCGATAATTAGCCAGGATAAAATTTAATACATGTAATTAGTGTTTTTAATAAATTTGGATTAAAAAAAAAGAACCTTTACATTTTGAATGATATGAATAAAGTACGTTAGCGACTTTTAATATGATCTGCACACCGCCATTTTGTTTGTTGGTAATGTACAGTGGTGTTGCCAACTTGTAGTATTTTAAGGATCTTTTTTTTTCCCATTTTGTTTACTAAAGGCTGTTGCAAGTGTACTAAAGATAAATAAAGTAATTAATTATAGAAACTAAGGTAAATTTTGATGATGGGTGGATGGATGTTTGTGGTTGGTTATTTGCTTGGATTGATGGTTGGTTGTGTTATGGGTGTTTGATGGTTGATGTTGTTGGTTTGCTGTGGTTGGTTGAATGGATTGCTGTGTTAGGATGTTTGATGGTTGGATGTTATTATTTTTCTGTGGTTTTTCGGTTGGCAGTGGTTGGATGGTGTTGGTAGGTTGATTGGATGGATAGTTTGTTGGTTGATTTGATTGATGGTTGTGATTTTTTTGTTGGTTGGCAGTGGTTTTTTGGTTGTGGTTGAATGGATAGATGGTTGGCTGGAAGGTTGTGTTAAGGTGTCTGATGGTTGGATGTTGATTTTATGTGGTTTTGGTTGGTTGGATGGATGGTTTAATGGTTGTTAGTGGTTTGTTGTTTTTTGGTTGATTGGCAGTGGTTGGTTGGTTGGATGGTTTGATGGTGTTGCTAGGTTGGTTTGATGGTATTGGTAGGTTAGTTGGATATTGTTGGTTTGCTGTGGGTGGTTGGTTTAATGGTGTTGGTTGTGGTTGGTTTGATGGTATTAGTAGGTTTGTTTGTTGATTGGATATTGTTGGTTGGATGGTTTGATGGGGTTGGTAGGTTGGTTGGATATTGTTGGTTTGCTGTGGATGGTTGGTTGGTTATTGTAGGTTGGATGGTTTGATGGGTTGGTTGGATGGTTTAATGGTATTTGTTGGTTGGTTGGGGATATTGATGGGGTTGGTTGGCAGTGGTTGGTTGAATGATTTCATGGTGTTGGTAGGTTGGATGTGGTTGGTTTGGTGGTGTTCTTACATTTGTTGGTTGGTTGGATATTGTAGGTTTGCTGTGGATGGTTTGATGGTGTTGGGGGTATGGTTGGATGGTTTGATGGTGTTGGTTGATCAGTTGTGGTTGGTTTGATGGTATTGGTAGGTTGGTTGGTTGGATATTGTTGGTTTGCTGTGGATGGTTGGTTGGATGGTTTGATGGTGTTGAAAGGTATGTTGGTTGGTTTTGGTAGGTTTGTTGGTCGTATGGATGATTTGTTGGTTGATTTGATTGATTGGTTGTGGTTTGTTGTTTTGGTTGGTTAGCAGTGGTTGGTTGTGGTTGGCTGGATGGTTGGATGGCTCTGTTACAGTATTTGATGGTTGGATATTGTTTGTTTGCTGTGGATGGTTGGTTGACAGTGGTTGGTTATGGTTTGTTGGATGGTTGTGTTAGGGTGTTTGATGGTTGGATGTTTTTGGTTTGCTGTGGTTGGTTGATTGGATGGTTCCGTTAGGCTAATTGATGGTTGGATATTGTTGGTTTACTGTGGATGGTTGGTTGTCAGTGGTTGGTTGGTTTGATGGTTATGTTAGGGTGTTTGATGTTTGGATGTTGTTGGTAGTCTACAGTCATTCTGTAGTAATACATCAAGACAACTTCGTAGACCCCAACGACAGCGATACACACACTCAAAACATCGAGAATATGTGGATGAGAGCAAAATGAAAATTAAAACACCAATTTGGAACAAGCAACGGACTCTTCCATTCATATTTAAATGAATTTATGTTCAGAACTGCCTTAGGGCATAAACATATTTTCTGTGAACTATTGGTGGGAATTACTGAATCATATCCTATGCATTGATGCTAACGTCAGTAACTGTTTTTAAAATGTATATACGTTTATGTATGTGTGGCATATGTGTTTTTTATATATGTGTCTGTGAAAAGAGAGAGCACGAACTTTAAATTTTTTTTAAACATCAACTAAATAAGTTTGTGTATTGATATTATAATAAGGTAATATTTTTTTTTGTGACCTTTATAAATGTGTATTTTGTATTTTTTTTTCAAAGAGTATTGTTATGGTAAAATAAATATTAACATTGCACATGGTTTACATTGTGTTTTAAGTGTTCGATTTTGTTTTTGTTGAATTTTTCTTGATTTAATTAAATCTAATAATAGAACGAGATTCCAATTCTAGGTGTACCTGTCTTCAAAATCATTAGGTTAAGTTTGATAATGTATCGGTAACTGTACGTGTGCAAATATTGGACTCCTTATAATAAATATAGGCCTTATCTTAATCGCTCAGTGTGTAGGTCCTAAAAGGATTAAACCTATAGCACTGTCTACGCAGGTAGGCTATTACATTATTTCGAAAAATGTGTTAGAGCCTACATTAAATTAGTATTAAACTGTATAATTAGGAGCGTCCCTTTTATAAGAGCATATATATCATAAAACATTTTAACAATTTGATACATAAGTGGCATCCATTTGCTCCTTCCTGTGGCCCCACAGGTCCATTTTGGTGCCGGCCCACTGGGCATTTGCTCGAACGCCAATATAGCCAATCTGCTCCTGCATTTACAGCACCAAGGTTCGTAGTGCTCCTAAAAAATGAAAAGACTCATAAAATCCTCCTAAAAATTGCCTTCACCTAAAATCTAGGCCTACTTTTAGCAGTGGACAAGTCCGTAGATCTACCTAGTGACAGTGTCTACCTTTAGATCTAAGCTGTAGTGAAGATAATTCGCACCTTACCTAAAAACTATTTGAATTTTAGTCAATTTAATGTTCTCGATATATTTAATGTCTTGATTTACGCTAAATCACTAGAATCTAGTGAATATAATTTGCACAAATGCACACCACGACTATATATAAGATACATATAGGTACTAAAAATATACATTTTCACCACAGAGAATATTATGAAGGCATCTCTAAAAGAATGTTTCTTATTTTTAAAAATATGGAATAGCGACATATTTGAGATGTTTAAAATAAATCTTTGGAAAAAAAAGATAACATTGTTCTCTGTTCTGGCTGGAATGTTGGCAAGATAATTATTATTTCCACAATCAAGTACCAATAATTTATTTGAAAAATGCATAGTTTTGTGTATGTTTTACAATGCATCAAACAGGGCAGGACAAACTGAATATATAAATGTGTATATGTATATATATGTTAATATATATGTAGGCCTATTTATATCACACATACATATAGATCATACATTCCATCCTTAAAGTCTACTAAAATCTTGTCATGGTAAAGTTCTATATCTTATATTTGTCAATGGCTGTAATTTGATCACAGTATTTTACTATTTTAAGTTTTTTAATTTCTGGAAAAAATGAGTAACAGAGCCTAAAGAAAAAAGTAAGACATAATAATTATTTATACTGGTGAAGTATCTAATAAATCTGGACATAGATCTAAATATATATGTATAGGCCTATAAATATATATTTTTTTGACATAGATCTTGATCAAAACTCTAAACAAACAATGTGCATTTGAAAAAAAATTAAAAAACAAAAATATATATTTACAATAATTTATCAAATTGTTTTTTTTTTTTTTTAGATCTGCATAAAATAAAATCGTTTTCTTATAAAAAAAAATAGTAATAAGATTTGTAAAAGAAATGTTTATTTGTAGTTGGCAGCTATCAGAATCTACTTATTATAATCTAGAATTAGAATCTACTCTAGAATACTGTAGATCTACTTCACTGTCGGACTACTTCAATACTAATACTTGACCTACGACT